ATAATACTAACAGCTGAGAGCTCCACCAGAAATAGTACGCAATTACGTGTATTAATTAATGCCTGACACATTATTTGGTGTCCAATTCCAGTACTCAGTAGCAGTAGTAAGTTTAGCTGTCAATATTAATTTCAGTGGAGATGCGTCTCGCAGCTTTCCATCGGATATGGATTTCTTCTGTGTTCTTCAAACCGGTGGGCCGGCGATAAGGGAGTTTGCGTTTCTTTTCAGTTTTGTTCTTATTTGAACTACCTTGACTCCTTCTCCTTGAGTATGTGGTGTTAGGGCACAACAGAACCATGGAGTTTGATACTCTGAAAATTTCGGGGAAAATATTATAACCTTCATATCGTGGTTTCACGTTTGCAAAGGAAAAAAAAAAAAAACAAGGAAAAATACTTAGATACGTCGGACTTCTTATGTGTTAAACTTATGGGCTTTTGATTAGTAGAGCAAAATTATCCACTACATCACAAATCATTTTTTGTTGTTGTTATGATGAAAACATTGAATGCAATTATATCCCCAATAATATATAGTATACTTTTGTGTACTTTTTCCGTTTTGAATTTCTTGCACTCTCCTTAATTTTAGGCAGGGGTATGGTGGTAATTAACGTAGTTGATTAAAATTGAATAAATTATATTTACAAACGTGGAAGTTTGTTCTTCTCTATCTTTATCCGGTCGCAAACTATTAACTTCTCTATCTTTTAGCTTGATGTAAAGGTAAACACTCATGTGTTTGATTGTTTGGTTATCCCCCCCCCCCCCCCCCCCCCCCTCCAATATTTTGTTTTCACAATTCAAGTATCTTAATCCCTTGCTTCGGTTATCAAAACTCATGTGTTTAATTGTTATTAGTTTGTTTTGAGGTTTATTTTTTTGCAAAGCAAAATATTTTTTGCTTCAAGTATCTTTATCCCTTGCTTCGGTTATCAAAACTCATGTGTTTAATTGTTATTAGTTTGTTTTTAGGTTTATTTTTTGCAAAGCAAAATATTTTGGTTTGACTTATTATTTAATATGTAAGTTTATGGTTGATAATTTTAGCTATATTAATTAGTTGAAAGAATAATTATTGTTTATGATATTTACCACTTTTATATCTTAGGAAATTATCAAAATTATATTTTATTTACTAATTTGAATCCAAGGAATATTTAAATGGTTACACCTCACATATTTTGGGTTTGTGATGTTATATTGTAAACTTTATTTTTAAGTGTTAAGAATTCAAGAATTAATAGTTTATACTATATAGTTTCACGGTATTCAATTCATAATATATGGATATGGTTAATGGTGAAAGAAAATATGAATATGCTATTAGAGATAGATTTCCTAGGGGTTCTTGGGATTTAGATAGTAAGATAATTTGTCTTTTTTTCCTTACAAAGTTGTCGTAAAAGGGGAAGAAAAATAGATACAAAAATATACTAGATCTTTGCAAACCAGACCAATAAAAGGTATAACAAACCATAGGTAGACAAGTGATCAATCCAACAATTCAAGGATTTGTTTTGCAATGACATGACCAGCCATGTTATACTTACGAAGCGCGAAATGGAGCAAGGCACACTAAAAAGAATATCTTAACACTTGAATCTCTTGTAGGATGATCCCCTCCCAATCGTGTTCAACGAATCCTTTGCGTGGAGCATTCGAATAAGTAGTTTACATCACCACAAAACAAAAGATTAGAGAAAGAATGAGCAAAACACCAACAAATAGAATCTCGAAAAGCTAAATGCTTGATTAGAAAAGGATAAGAGGACTCTTGAGTCTTGATAAAAGTGATCCCACAAAAACAAAACTTCACTTCCAGTACATGAGATACTATGCATCAAAGGATCCATTTTTAAAAAATGATAATATCCTAAGTGTATGCACCTGCAATTTCGTTTACCGTTTCCACTTAAAAAATCAGACAACATAAATGAGAAGCATATATTTGTTTTAAATTATTTTTTTTAGTTTCCAACTATAGAAGCAAAAAGTGATAACTTTCTTATGTTTCTGGAAACAACAAGATGTTGGTTCTGTCATTTTATTTTATGGTTAATCAAAACTTGTATTGAAACCCTGGGAAGTGCAAATCGCAAACTTCCCTTTCAAAAAGCAACCGTGCTTTTACATACTATACTTCATAAACTAATAAGTAAGTAAGAACAAAAGTAAGAACACTAATTAAAGCTAAAGAACTCTTTGCACTCTCAACTGGTAAGGGATATGGTTACTAGCAAAAATTATAAACTCCTTCGTGATCTTCTGCATAACATGAGAAGGTGAGTTTGCAGCCATGTTCCCATAGATCCTCTCACACCTCTCCTTCCATATTGAACTAACTCCCATGATCCAAAGAATTTGCCCAACTGCTGCTGCATCAGAGGACTACTGAGACCATGCATGCTCCGCCCACTCTAACTAGATCTGCCAATCAGTAAAATCAGGGAACACACAGATCCCACATAATACTTGTCTCAACACTTCACTACCAGACAAATGGTCTCTACTTTCCAATCCCCCAGGGCATAAGACACAACAACCATCACATCTTATCCCCCAACAGAGCAGCTTGTCTCTTGTTCTGATCCTTCACAATACGATTAACAACAACAACACACAATACTTGGGGTAAACTGTCTTGCTCCAGATAACATGAGACCACAATATAGCAGGTAAAGGGACTCTAATTGATGTCCATACTTGCTTAACCAAGAATTTAGCTTTCAGACCATCCCATGCCAAAGACTCTCCCCCCTCCAGTAATATGCTACTATGCACATTTCTGCATTTGAGGATCTTTTTCCATAACTAACATTAAGCTCACCTAAAGGGAACCCTGACTGTTGAGATGATGTTTGTTTTCCACCTTGAGAGAGTTCTGAACAAAATAATTGACACTTCTAGGGATTGCATTTAAGTCCCAAGATTCTATAAAACTGATCCAGTAGCTGTCTAATTCCAAACATTGCCTGAGATGACCCATTAGAGAAAACTAATAGATCATATGCAAAACAAAGGTGTGAAATCTCTTTAATTTTACAACGAGGATGAAAGGGGATCAGATTGGTTGCAACTGCCCTGTTTAGAAGGCAAGAGAAAACCTTCATTGCAATTGTAAAGAGTTTGGGGGGATAATGTAACCCCCTGCCTCAATCCTTTTGCAGATGAGAAGTAGCCACACAACCTCCATTAAATGACACACCGAGCATAGAGGATGAGACACACGACTCCACCAACTTCACAAAGTTCAAAGGCATACCCATAGCACTCTTCAGCTTAAATAGAAATTTTCAATATACCGAATCAAACACTTTCATTAGATCTATCTTAAGAGCACATTTAGGGGAGATTCTGATCCTATGATAATCTTTTACTAGTTCAGTTTCCATTAGGATGTTGTACTGATTAACCTACCCTTGAAAAAAAAAAACAGATTGACATTTACTTATTAACATCGGCAAAACCAGAGATAACCTATGAGATAGCAGCTTTGAGATACCCTTATAAATCACATTGCAACAAGATATTGGATGAAAGGCCTTCATCTTTTCTAAAATAGGGATTTTAGGAATAATGGAGAGCACTGAAGGGTTTACCTTATGAGGCATGACACCAGTTGCAAAGAAATCTAGAGCTGTATTCTCCACGTCCACTCTAACAATATCCCAATTGAATTTGAAGAACTAAGAAATATAACCATATGGTCTTGGAGCCTTATCCCTCCCCATACTAAAAAATAACTTCTTGATCTCCTCACCAGTGACTGGTGTAGTCAAAATATTAGCATCATCAGAGGTCAGTTAATGACACAGTTGGTCTTCAAAGAACTCAAATGGATGTTCTTAGACCATAGGATCAACAATCCCTAATAGCCCTTTGTAGAAATCAACTACCAGCTTGCTCATCTCTTTTATATCACTGACAACCTGTCTAGTATCAGACACTAACTTCTGAATAGTTTGCCTGTGATTCCGAGTTTTAACCATATCGTGAGAGAAACTAGTGTTGGCTTCCCTTTGTGTTATCCATTGGACCCTCGAATTTTGCCTGTAAAATGACTCCTCAACACTTTGCAGATCTCTACACAATTTCTCTTGATCTAAAATTGGACGATAATTCAACTCAGAAGGATCATTCAAAACACTATTTTGAAACAGTTCCAGTTGGGCATCAGCTTCTCGTGTTCGCACTGATATCTCGGAATAAGAAGATTTGTTCAGACCCTTAAGCTTAACCTTGAGTTCCCCCAACTTCTTATATAAAATGCGATAAGGATCACTATCAGCTTCCACTTGCCAAGTCTCTTCTAAAAGACCTCTATATTGCGGATGCTGACTCCAGAACAAGAAGAATTTAAAAGGTTTTGGCTAAGTGGAGAATTTAGAATTAGTTTGAACAAGACTACCACAATGATCAGATACACCAGGAGCAAGAGTATGAACCAAACTATTTGGGAATACTTCCAACCATTTCACATTAACCAAAGCACGATCAATCCTACGAGCAATAGGATTATTGGATTGCTTGTTCCGCTAAGTAAACCATGAACCTAAGATTTTATGATCCACCATCTTCAAATTTAGAATCCATTGGAAAAAATCAACCATACTTTGGTTGGAACCAGGGCAATTTGAAGCCTCATTACTCTCAACAATAGCATTAAAACCTCCAAAGAACACACCAGGCTCATTGAAAATTCCATGTCTCCTCAACTCATCATAAAAAAACAACTCTATCATTCACCTTATTTGGACTATAGATAGTTGTAACCATACAAGACTCTAAACTAGATTTGACTCGAACACTGATAAAATGCTCTCCCATACCAACTTCACTGACTTGCAAATAAGATTTCCAGAACAACCAAACACTACCAAAGCGAGAGTACTATAATTATCTAAATGTTTCCAACTACTAAATTGCTTATTTTGTATATCATCAGCATTATTCTTCAAAACTCTTGTTCCCAGTATTGCAAACAATTCTAATTGTAACTTAGATACATGTTTATTTAAGTATCTATGCTTTTTAGGGGCATTGAAGCCCCTGAGATTCCAACATAACAATTTCATTTACCACATTTCATGTTTCTCCCACCTTTCCTTGGAGAAGCGAGAACCACAAGACTAATACCTTTTGTGTTAAGAGGAACTTGAGACTGAACTGCTGATACTGAAACTCTAACTGTACTTTCTTGGGGCACAAGAGTAGTATGTTTACACTTTCTCACCACTAACTGAAAACCATCATCATCTATCAAAGCATTTGGCAATGGTGTAGTTGAACTAGATGCAACAACATTCACCAACACACCCACCATCAGATCAGGGTTAGAGGTACCCGGGACCTCCAATGAGGAAGGAAATCTAGGCGAGGAGACCAATATGTCTTTCCCCTTATCAATCACATCTTCAGTCAATGCAGGCTGCTCCGCAACTGCAAACACACCATCACTATAAGACTTGCCACACTCAACACCTTCACCCATCTGATGCCCAAACTCAACGCATTGCTCACAACGAACTTGTAGCATGGAGGTAGTGAATAAAAAATTAATTTTCTCCTCCCCCTCAGGCCGGATTCATAGCTCCGAAGGAAATAGTGCATCAGACGACATCTCGACACACAACTTACAAGTATCCATTTGAGCCCCCAGCTTAGTCTTTTGATCCATCCATAACGGCGTGCCCAGCAAACTAGTCACCCTAGTCAAACCTTCCATCGTCATATATTCAAGCGGCAACTCCCTAATACGAACCCAAATCGGCAAATTGGTGCGATCCAACTTGATTAAATGAATACCCGGTACCCATTTGTGAAAAAATAGAGGGATGATTTTGCAGTGCCAAGGCCCGCTTTCAAACACCCAATTACTCATATCCACACTCTCAAATTGGAATAGAAACATATTCTCACCAAAAGAAGAAGGGAGAAGGGTTAAGGTTAGAAGTAGCTCGACCGAAATGAGTGAAAGGAAGCATTTAATCATTTTCTCTCAAGAAAACTCTTACCGACTCCTATGTGAAAGAGATATGCTTTGCTTTGTATAATCTTTTGCCTGAATTTGGAATTTGGTACGTGGTGGAGTATTGCTCCCGACTCCCTTCTAAATTATACAGATATTCGTTGTTTAGTAAATTAGGAACTCTTACGCCTTCCTTTCCCTTGCTAATGGCCTTTCCCTTTCGTGCAATTCAGACTTGCTAGATGTCCTTCTCTTAATAGTTGCGAGGTTCCGAAAATTTACATCAACAAGTTTCCCAAATTTTTTTAATGAATAAGGGGCTTTCATTTCATCAAAATACGATCAATACAAATTCATAACATTAGTACAGCTTAGAACAGAAGTTACACACAAAAACTTTGTCTCTCTAACTATAACTACTAACTAATACACTTCTATACTAATCAGAGTTTTGAAACCAGAAAGGTCTGCACCTAACGCTGTGAATCGGGCGTTTGTTCTATTTCATAAAAAAAATTAGTACTAAAGGCAACATACTCTGCCAAATGAGTAAGAGACAACTATACTATCTATACAAAATTGATGACAATAGACAAAGCAACAAACAATTTCAAATAAAGAACTGACTAATAGTAATTGGGATCAGTAGTAGGCTAACATCTCCTTTGGTTAAGATTAGCAAATCACTCGCATCCTTATGCCTTCCACCATACTTAATCTGACACCTCTCTCTCTAGAGCATAGCTAATAGTGCTTGCCAGATGATCTTTCCAGCTTGAACAATAGGACTTGAACCTTTAAAAACATTCATTGCCCACTGAAGCTCAAGTTGCCATGGGTCACTAGGGAGTCTAGTTGCAAACTTGAAAATAGATATGCATACAACATTTTAAAAATACAGCACACTGCAAACAAATGGTCCTTTATTTCCATATCACAATCACAAAACACACACCCAATCGAGCATGTTCCCTCCATCCTTGAACCTTATCCCTATTAACCATAGAATCGTTCATGATCAACCACACTAGAAATTGGTTCTTTGGTATAGCAGGCCCTTTCCAAACCAAGGAGAACCATGTTATAGAAATACCTTTAGTACACAATTCTGTCCAAATCGTTTTAATGCAATACCTTTCCATTTTTACCCTTTTCTAGTAAACACCATAAGCAACAACGGAGAACCAACTTCTAACCTTATCTTGACTTTTAGTAGCTTTTGCCAAATCCATGACCCCATCTTTCTAGAGAGAGTCCAAAATTCTCCCTCTTGATTCTATATTACCAAATCCAAGCCACCCAAAGAGATTCTTGCTTCAACAGAATCGCCCAAATATTCTTCATAACACAGGCTAGATTCCAAGTCTCCATATCTCTGAGTCTAAGACCTTCTTCCTTCTCGGGAAAGGTAATTTTTGCCCAAGCAACCACAACTTTCTTATGAGTACCTTCACCAACCTCCCATAATAAATCACTATATTTCTTCTCAATCTCTCTATTTATAGCCTTAGGAAGAATAAAGATCACCATCTAGAACTAAGCCAGGCTATATAAAATGGAAATTATCATTTGAAGTTTCCCAGCATAACTAAGAGACTTCGACTTTCAGCTATTAATCTTGCTAGTAACTCTATCAGTTAGACGCTTGCAAGCTTTAATAGTAAGTTTCCCAACCAACAGAGGGAGACCAAGATATCTAATAGGTAGAGTGCCAAGCTTATACCTTGAATTCTGAGCCATCAGAAACTGCCATTCTGGGGCAATTCCACCACAATAAAGTTCACACTTCAAGGGGTTGGATTGAAGCCCAAACATACTACGAAACTGACTCAACACATCTTTGGTACACTGAATTCCATGATTAGACCCATCAGAGAAGAGTAATAGGTCATCCGCAAACATAAGATATGCTAAAGCCAACCGCTTACACATAAGATGGAAAGGCATAGTATTTTGCTTCACAGCTTTGTGCATAAGGCATGTAGAATCTCTATTGCCACAACAAATAGGTAGGGGGACAGTGGATCCCCCTGCCTCAACCCTTTTCTTGGAGAAAAATAACCCACTGAACCACCATTAAACCCTACAGTTAACCTAGGGGTAGTGACACACATGTTTAACCAGGTAAGAAAGCTATCAGGAAAGCCCATTGCTCTAAGAATAGTAAATAGAAAATCCCAGTCTACTAAGTCAAGGGCCTTAATTAGGTCAACCTTGATCAGAGTACGTGGGGAGATATTTTCCTACCAAATTTTTGTACCACTTCATGAGCCAATTAAATGTTTTCACCTATAACCTTATCCTTCACAAAACCAGTATGTGGTTCACTTATTATACTTGGTATTACAGAACTCAACCTAGAAGCCAAAATCTTTGCCATACATTTATAGAGGATATTGTACCAAGAGATTGGTATAAAAAATTTCATCTCTTCAGGGCTAGTTATTTTGGGAACTAAGGTAAGCAGAGTGGAATTAATGCTAACTGGGATACTAGCCCCTTGAAAATAGTGCAAAATAGTAGTTGTTACCTCTTATCCAATAATACTCTTGGCTGCATGAAACAAACAAGTTGGATATCTGCTCGACCGAGGAGCTTTATCTCCATTGAAGCCAAAGATCGTACTCTTCACTTCCTCAGCAGTGACAGGTCTACACAAATCCACTCCTTGACTAGGAGGTAGTTGCTTCAGTAGCAAGCAGGGTTGTCACGCCGGCCGGCGTGCCACCGGTTGTACCTGGTTCAACCTGTACCGGTCATAAAACCGGTGTGACACCACCGGTATGACCGGCATGATCGATATACGAATCTCTAAGTAAAATAATCTTATTTTAGTGACTTTAATTGTTAAAAATTATTTTATTATTTATTTTATGAGTATAAATGTTAAATATTGATGTTATTTGTTGGATTCAAGTATAAATGTTTAGGTATTGACGTTAAATGTCATGTTTAAAATCAGTATTTATAATTTTATTTGTAATATTGACCGGCATGAACCGGCACAAACCGGTATGTGCCACCGGTCGAACCATTTCACTTGCTAAACCGGCACACTACATAAACCGGTTTGACAACCTTGTAGCAAGTCTTTGATCTGCTCAACACTAGACTGCATAACCAAACTATCCTTTTCCCCTAACGGCTTCTTGTAGAAATTCTTAGCTATTCAAGCCATGCCATTAGTGTCTTCAACATGCAACAGACCCTAGCCAGTGGAGACCCCTCAATTGTAGAATCTCAGGCTTCCTTAACCATCTACATAAAATTCGGATGTTTTATCCAAAATTTAAAAAAATTGAATAATTTTGGAAGAGACTTAATGGAGCAATATGAATTTAGCAAGATGGGACAATGATTTGAAACCAAGGGGTCAAGTAGATCAACATTACTAGCAGTCAGAATCTCTAGCCATTTCATGTTCGCAAGAACTCTATCCAATCGCCTCACAATAGGGTTCCTCTGCTGCTTATTTAACCTGATGAACCAAGGGCCAGAGGATTTATGTTCCTCCAGTTCATAGTCAAACTGCCATTTCTTGAAATTAACCATACTACTAGAGATTTGAGGATCATTTGAAGCCTCACTATGGTCCTCAATCACATTAAAATCCCCAAGAATAGCCCATGGTTTTGATTTTACCTAAAACTTTATAGATCTTCATAGATAATTCTTCTATCCCCATCTTCATTTGATTCATAAACTATAGAAAAGAAGAAAGGAATACCGGAGCCCACCAAGATATGAAAGAACTAATCAGTTTTATGAAGCACACTGATCTTAACATCAGCTTTCCAAATGAGACACAATTTCCCCAAACCATTAGAGTTATTAGCCACTTTAAATTCCCAACCAAGAAACCTTTTGTTTATCATCTTATCTGCCTTACTTGCTCTTACCTGAGGTTCAACTATAACTATAATATCTATATTATGTTCATATACTAGTTGTTGAACAACCTTATTCTTATTTGGGTCATTGATATCCCAGATATTCCAAGTGAGAATCTCCATCTCTTAGACCAACTCTCCCCTCTTTACGGGGGTGTAGGCTTCTTCTTTCACCCACCAACTGTAATCCAAGTATTAACTGATTCTTTAATAACTAGAGTTGTCTAAGATGAAGGCCTCCCATTAAGTGGTGAGCCACAATCCACAAACTTATAAGGAGACGAGCTAGGATTCCCAGTTGCATTGATGATCCTAACACGATATCCGCAAAACTAACAGTTACACTCCCATTTGGTGAAGGAGTAAGAGTTTGCAATGGACCAACATAATTTATTGTGCCAGAAGAACTTGCAAGCTGAGTATCAATAGGTTCCTTCACTTGTCCAACATCCATAGAGACTACTAGTTTATCTTTATCAGGAAGGAGAGTTTCTCTGATTTTCAAGGAAATAAACTCTCTTTTTTTTGTTAATGAGGTAAAATATTTGAACGACATGACTTATCATTATTATTTTAGTATTTTATTTTAGTTTTTCTTACTTTATATCTATTTTTAATATTTTATACTAGATATAATTTTCTACTTATATTTCTTTCAAAAAGTTACAAAAATTTAAACATCTATATTATTATCCACTAAAATAATATATCTTTGTTCTTTTATTCTTTTTAATTTGTACTTTATCATTTTGTATCGTATAAATCATTCTACTTTGTTTACTTCAGTTAAAAAAATATCATCATTGAAGTTTTAGTTTGGGTTAATATATTTGTATGACCTGAACTTTGCACATAATAAACATTTTGGTCAATCTTTTTGATCTATAACATCTTGGCCCAAACTATACATCAAAGTTACTAAATTGGTCAAACTCGATGTTTGACTATTATCTTTGACAGTCAAACACGCTGACTAACGGTCAACGCGCCACGTCATTGCCAAGTCAACACCTTTCACTTAAAATATTATATATTTTCCACCTATTATAATTTTTATTTTTCATTTTGAACAAAAAAAATAAATATAGGAAAATGTTATTTCGTGTCCCCTTATATCTCCCATAATTTTTTAAATATATTTTTAAATTCCATCATTTATTTTCACTGATTTCAAATTAATCTTCTACATAATACCCATTTTCGATTTTTTCACAAATATAAACAAATAAATTCGAAATTAAAAATTTTCCACCATTTATTTTCACCCATTCCAAATTAATTTTCCACATAATATTTATCTTCAAATTTTCCACAAATATGAACAAAGAATCAAAAAATGAAAAAAAGTTTAATATAAATGAAAATTTTAAACATTCACCATTTATTTTCAATAATTTCTAATTAATTTTCAACATATTACCCATTTGTTTTTAAAATTTTACTTAAAATTTAGAATTTTTAAATTAAATATCCATTTTTATAGGTGGAAAATATATAATTTTTTAAGTGAAAGGTACTGATTTGGCAATGACGTGGCGCGTTGACTGATAGTCAATGTGTTAGACCGTCAAGATAACGGTCAAACATCGAGTTTGGCCAATTTAGTAACTTTGATGTATAGTTTGGGTCAGGATGTTATAGATCGAGAAGATTGGCCAGGATGTTTATTATGTGCAAAGTTCAGGCCATACAAGTGCATTAACCCTTTTTAGTTTCTAAATTTATAAAAGTTCTAGCCTAATAAATTTTCATTTGAAGTTTTATTTCTCATGAAACATGAAACGATATCTTCATTTTCTTCAAAATATGTTATATGTTGCATAACCGGGGAAAGAAAATTAGACCCGTCAAATTACAACCCGACTCGTTGACCCGACCGGAAACCGTCTGAAAACTAGAAATTTTTGTAACCTAAAATCCGAATGACCCGAACTCGATAACCCGTGATTTTTTGGATCGGGTTGGGTGGGTTAGCGGGTCGACCCGTTAGACCCGTTCCATTTAATATATTACTCCCAAAATATGATAAAATCACTCATAAATTGGAGAGATGTTTAAAAAAAATCACAAGGATTTGAATGACATGTTTGGAGTTTTAGGATAATCAAATATCATGTGTTTCTTGTAGTAGTATTAATCTTGTGATTGTTTTTTGACAATGTGCGCAATTTATATTTCATTTCATTAGTGTGGGAAGATTTGAGAATTTGTTAATTGACATGTGTTAGGTAAACTATTGTCATGCATATGTGAAAATTTGTGTTCTTTAAGAAAATATAAAGCATGTTTGATATTGTTTCTGAGAACGCTTATAATCCGAAATGACCTGTAACCCGATCCGAAAACGAATGGGTTGGATCAATATTTGACCCGAAATAAGCCAACCAAACATGACCCGACCCATAACCGAAGTTCTCAACACGAAATTACCCAACCCGACCCGATTGCCAGGTAAAAAAAAACTAAAAATGAACCAGTCTAACGGCCCGTTGAAATTCCGAGGTTGAGACTGTCATGAATTTTTTTTAAAGTGAAGTTGAAATAGATTCTGCAGAAAGTTCCAAGTATTGATAAACCATATCAATCTTATCAACGAATTTTCAACAAAATCCTAATTAATCCGTTTACTTCCGAGAAGTCAATTTAAAGCCCATCTGAAACAACATCTAGCCCACTTCAATCTTCATCACGAAGAAAACCAGAATACCCATGGACCTGGCCCATCATAATCTGAACTCGACCCAGTACGAACACTGAAAGTGGAAACCCATCCGTCGATCCATAAACACGTGTCGGCTTCACACGAAGTTTCTACCACCTCCGCACAGCAGAACCGAGCCAGCTCGAATTAGATATGAGGTTAACATCTCCGCCATCTCTCACACTCATTTCTCCGCCGAGTCGCCGCCCAATCCAATTCCTCCGACGACCTTCTCCAAACACTACCAACACTATCCGCTGCCCCTCGTCTCCACCGCACGCAATGGATCAGCCGGACTCTAATCGCCGAGTAGTCGTCTGCGGCGGCGGCGTAATCGGCGTCTGCACGGCCTACTTCCTAGCCAAAAAGGGCGTCTCCGTCACCCTCATCGAGAAATCCTCCATCGCCTGCGCTGCGTCCGGGAAGGCCGGCGGATTCCTCGCCCTCGATTGGTGCGACGGCGGGCCGGTGGGCCCGCTCGCTCGAGCCAGCTTCAATCTCCACCGCACCCTCGCCCAGGAGCTCGACGGCGCCCAATCCTACGGCTACCGCCCCCTGACCACGCTCAGCCTAACCGTCGCGGAGTCGGAATCGGACAATCCGCCGGAATCGTCTTCAGGAGAGAAGAAAATCCCTAATTGGGTCGACGGGCCGGCCCGGGCACCGAGGACGATCGGGACAACGGAGACGACGGCGCAAGTCCATCCGCAGCTGTTCACGAGGACGCTGGTTACGAAGGCGGTCGAGGGTTACGGGGTGGAGGTGGTGATCGGGAAAGTTGAGGCGGTGGCGGTGGAGGACGGGCGTGCGAACTCGGTGGTCCTCGAGGGCGGACGAGTCATCGAATCTGACGCGGTGGTGCTGGCGCTTGGGCCGTGGTGCGGTAAGTTCGAGATGTTGCAATCCATTTTCAGAGTTTATGGGCTGAGAGCTCACAGTATTGTCTTGGAGCCGAAGAGGCCCGATGCCATCACGCCTCATGCGCTTTTCTTGAGTTATTTGCCGGGCGGGGTAGGAAAGCCCATGGACCCTGAAGTGTATCCGCGGCCCACAGGTAACTTTGCCTTTTACTTTCTCCACCCTTCTTGTCCACTAGCTATGTAGATTTGATTTTTTGCAGAGTTTGTTACCTTAAGTCCTTAACTAGACTACACAGAATTGGTTACCTTAAACTTAACAGTTCAATTATGAATTATAAGTATTTATTATTTTATAATCGATGTCGAACTTTTAAACGTACTGTTATGTTGGAAATGACGAATAAAACTTGGTACGTTTAAAACGGTTAATACCATATTATGCTCGTACCGTATTTTTACTAACTATGTTCATTGTTTTGTCCAAAATTTCTTGATGCGTTGACAGGGGAGGTTTATGTGTGCGGAATGTCGTCGGAGGTGGAAGTGCCGGATGACCCGGAGCAAATAACGGGCGACCTGGAATCGATCCGGGTGCTAAAGAGGGTGGCGAAGACGGTCTCGAGCCACCTGGCCGAAGGGGAAGCAACAGTGAAGGCAGAGCAAGCCTGCTTCTTGCCCTGCACGGATGACAGCTTGCCGGTGATCGGAGAGATTCCGGGAGTGAAGGGTTGTTTCGTGGCGACCGGACACAGCTGCTGGGGGATCCTTAACGGTCCGGCGACGGGAGCTGCGATGGCTGAGCTTGTGGTGGATGGGGAGTCCAGCATTGTGGACCTTTCTCGGTTTAGTCCGGCCAGGTTTGGCAGGAGGAGGAAGATGTAATAGGTCTTTTCTATGTATTGTTTGTTCATGGAGTACGAAGTTTGGGTAAGGGAAGGAATAAGATAAAATGGGTTAATGGTCACTGTGTTAAATTGTGCTGAAATCGTAAAGGAGACAAGATGTAACGTGGTTCTTCCGAGTGGCGAGGCTTACGTCCACGGGAAGATTGAGATTTTGTATTATTGCTCTTGACGGCACATGGTCGAGTACATGTATTTATACCCTATGCTACTGTCACCGAGGGTTACATGTTTGACGTGGGAATTATGAGAGTCCGTGCACCGTGAGGAGATCGCGTGAGCACAAGACGTGGGCTCTACTTCAGCTGATGCAGCTCGGCCCAATACTCCCTTGCAAGCTGGCACATAAAGATCACTAATGTTCAGCTTGGATAGAAGGAATCGGAAACGCTCAGCACCAAGACCTTTAGTTAGGATGTCGGCAAGCTGGAGGTCTGTATGGACCTTAACTGGCAATATCTGACCAGTCTAAACATGTTTCCGGACAAAGTGGCAATCCATTTCCACATGTTTAATGCGCTCGTGGAAGACCCACAAGACGTGGGCTCTACTTCAGCTGATGCAGCTCGGCCCAATACTCCCTTGCAAGCTGGCACATAAAGATCACGAATGTTCAGCTTGGAGAGAAGGAACCGGAAACGCTCAGCACCAAGACCTTTAGTTAGGATGTCGGCAAGCTGGAGGTCTGTATGGACCTTAACTAGCAATATATGACCAGTCTAAACACGTTTCCGGACAAAGTGGCAATCCATTTCCACATGTTTAGTGCGCTCGTGGAAGACCCACAAGACGTGGGCTCTACTTCAGCTGATGCAGCTCGGCCCAATACTCCCTTGCAAGCTGGCACATAAAGATCACGAATGTTCAGCTTGGAGAGAAGGAACCGGAAACGCTCAGCACCAAGACCTTTAGTTAGGATGTCGGCAAGCTGGAGGTCTGTATGGACCTTAACTGGCAATATCTGACCAGTCTAAACACGTTTCCGGACAAAGTGGCAATCCATTTCCGCATGTTTAGTGCGCTCGTGGAAGACCCACAAGACGTGGGCTCTACTTCAGCTGATGCAGCTCGGCCCAATACTCCCTTGCAAGCTGGCACATAAAGATCATGAATGTTCAGCTTGGAGAGAAGGAACCGGAAACGCTCAGCACCAAGACCTTTAGTTAGGATGTCGGCAAGCTGGAGGTCTGTATGGACCTTAACTGGCAATATCTGACCAGTCTAAACACGTTTCCGGACAAAGTGGCAATCCATTTCCACATGTTTAGTGCGCTCGTGGAAGACCGGATTATTGGCGATATGAATGGCAGCCTGATTATCACAATGGAGAGGAGTAGGCGCTGGCTGCGGAACGCCAAACTCATGCAACAGCCAACGTAACCATAGAGTCTCACTGACAGTACTAGCCATGGCCCGATAATCGGCCTCGGCAGACGAACGAGCAACAACACGTTGCTTTTTGGTGCGCCAGGAGATGGGGGTACCTCCTAGAGTGATGAATTATCCGGTCGTAGATCAACGTGTACTCTGACAACCTCCCCAGTCTGCATCACAGTAGGCTACAACTCAAAGAGAGTTACTGGTGGAAAAGAAGAGACCTTGACCAGGCGAATTTTTTTGAGGTACCTAAGAACTCGGAATGTCGCGTCAAGGTGTTGCTGACTGGGTGCCTGAACGTGATGGCTTAGGACATTAATTGCACAATTTACCACTTAAGTTCACCATTTGTTGCACGACGACCACCTAAGTACGTTTTATTGCAACTAAATCACTTACGTCAAATTCCACTAGCATCGTTATCATTTCTGTCTCCATGGTTAACGATAGGTGCCGAAATGTAAATAACCATGTCAACTCGGACTGCCACGTCAGCTACGGATTGTTGACTCATATTTGGTCCAATCCCATTTAAATCCAATAAATTGACCCATCCTCTTTCCCCAAATCCATCCGACCCCTTCCTCCTTCTCCTTGCTGCTCCTCTCGGCTCTCCAGTCTCCTCCGTTGCTTCATCTCCCCGCCGGCTGCACACGAGACGGAGAGGGAATGAAAGAAACTCAATAGGCGGTTAGAAGACTCTTTTGCATATCTGTGGGCTTTGAGTGGTAAGGACAAGGCCTTGTTGGGTTAGGGTTTAGAATTGGAATTGGATTGAGATGTAAATATGTGATATATTTTAGGGCGATAAAATTTGAATTCTAAGGCGACGAATAGCGATTCAGTTTTATATCACAATTAGCATATTATTTTTTTTCAAAAATAGCTCTTCTATTGTTGCTAAATTATATAATGATCACTAAATTTTCTAAATGCATAAAAGATTTTTTTATAGTTAAATACATAAAAAAAACTTGACGGGGCAAATATGAGTATGTTTATGATACAAGGAGTCAAAACCAAATCTGTCATATGCCCATCAATTTCTTTACAAATTTTCCTTTTACTTGTCCTATAAGTGTCGTCAAGGTTTGAGTAGGGATGACAATTTGAACCCGTCCCGCCGGGTAATACCCGACCTGACTCGCAATGGAGCGGATATTACCCGACCCGCATTAGCGTGGGGCGGGACATGGGTATCAAGTTCCGCCCCGCCCCGCCCCATTCTTAGCCCGTTTTAGGTCAATTTTTTACCCAATTCATTCATATATCTCCTATTTTGGCTTTTATTCAACTAGTTAGACTTGATCTTTCAACTAAATAGACTTAATTACTTATTATATTATCACTATTATTCATTCATCAAGTCTTTTCCCCCTTCGTTTTATCATAAAAAGTTAAATTGTGCATGCATGTTTCTCAAATAGCATGTGAGAGTGGGTCGACCCGCCCCGCTCCGTAACCGCGCGAGTATTACCCGCCCCAACCCGTACTAGCGTGGGGCGGGGCATGGGTATTGAGGTACCCGCCCCGACCCATTGCCATCACTAGGTCTGAGTAATTTCCAACCTATATCAACAAGGAGTGGATAGGGTGCAAAGTGCTAACACCCATACTAACACTTACTATCTACACATAATATAATACACCGAAGGGAAACACGGGAGCCCCATTTCAAATTTCCTGCAACGAGAGTGAACGTAGGAAGGACATTTTGGTCTTCACAATTACTTTTTTTTATTCATTAAAAAAGTATGTACTGGGATTTGAACCATAACCATTTTAAAGAAAGGCAAGGATCATAACCAATCACACTAAGTACATTTGTTGTATCCTTTTAAATTAAAAACATATAATAGCATGGTGGAAAAAACTCTTCCCCCATTTCAAATTCCCTGTTCCATGAGCGTTTGTAGGAAGGGTAAAATAGGGAGTGTCAATTTTTTTCTCTTTCCTCTATGGAACGGGCCAACTTACCGTACACATGCGGATTTAAACGAGTCCAGGAGTGTCAATTTTTTTCTTTATACCCTTTTATTTATCCGTGGTGATAAAATATATATGAAAAGGCAAAAATAATACTCCTTTTTATTTTTAAAAATAAAAAATTTAACAATAGACTAATGCATGGTATCTAATGGGCTAACCGCTAACCATAAAATAAAAGAGTTGAATGGGCCTGATCTACATGGGATTTGGTCATCAAGTAAAACAAATGAACATCATGGGTTTGCCATTCTAAAACAAGCTATTTTCTCTGGCATAATATATATTATGCTATTATTTTATATCTTAGTGGCTAAAATATAATGTATTTTAAAGTTATTCAATGGTTCAACCTCGACCAACCCAATTAGTCCAATTTTTATCATTTCAAATATATATTTTATAATTATTTGACATCATAATGATCAAATTATAGTGTATTTTATAGGGAATCGTTTGGTATTTGTTAGTAAAAAACTAAACATAAAAATCTATTTGGTTATTTTAAACATTAAAACGATCCTCAACATTTTCAATTCCTTTTGAATTTATATGGTTTTATTCCCGAATAAGTGATGTGCAAATGGCGAATTGTAGTCGTCTTTTTTCTTTCACTATTTTTTTATTTTCAAATAGAAAGTTTAAAAGTAAAGAATAATTAGAATTTGGCATGGGTCGGTCAAACAGGTTGAATTTCAAGTTTTGGCCCATTTGTTTTATGCATTGCAAATTAATTAGCATGTTGATGGAAATGGCTTGGAAAAAAGACATATAAGTTGTATCTTTGCAGAAATGTCCTCAAATGTTTGAATGCTTTGTGAATCAGGTTCTGTGACTTTTGTGATGGTGTATGTGCTTGACGATTGCTCGATGTTGTAACTACTTAATTTAAGAGTAAATCTTTTGACTTTCCCTATGAGTTGTGATACCAGTTCTGGTGGTTGCAGCATGTTGTCGTTGTTGGCCTGTAAAAGTTGTTCCGCCGTGATGCTAAATACCTTTCCTTCTTTTTTAACAAATTGTGTAGTAGTGCTATGAAACAGACCACCCATGAACGCTTCGCTTATTATGTTCTGTTCTTACTTCCGGTGGTGAGAAATTGTGAATTGAGAATCATATTCGCCTACCGTACTGTGTCTGGTTGGTGGCTGCTTACTGTGCTCTCTAGAGTTATGAAACAGACTACCCATGAACTTTACCCTTAAGAGTTCACAACTTTGCGAAAAACCAAATATAGGCAATCAAAGGTGGTGGATGTGTGATGATTTTTTATGGCTTAATTGTTTGTGAATTAGATATCTGATCTTTGTATGATTAGAGGGGATGTTAGCTTAATAGAATAATCCATTTTAATTCATGTTTATTTTTAACATGAACTTTAGTAACTCAAAACCTTCGAGACACATATCACCTACTGCATTGTATCATTTTGCCTGGGTGCTTGCTGTGTTGTCAAACTTCTTTGCTGCTGATGCATTTACACTAACAGGGGAGTTAAGAAACCCATGAATGTTTCCGTTTGACACAAACAAGAGGACTTACTTCTAAATCGTGCACTAAAGATGATTGGAGGAAACATTTCTGTTGCAGTTGATACACTAGATTGATACACTGGAGACCATAACAAAAGCAACGTATAACATCAAAACCAACCATCTGAACTATTAGCATTGTTGCTTTACTCTTTTTTCGTGGTTGAGTCTCCTTCAAAAAATTTAGTTTGATTTTAGAAAATTTTGCTCATGCAGTCCTGTCTTGCCACCAACGCGTTCAGTAGATGGAGATGGCAGAGGCGAAGGCTATTTTGTGTTGTTGTTGCTGGTTTAGGGATCGGTTTGTGAAGAAGAGGGAGAAGAGAGGGGGAAAGGAAAATGCATGAGAGGGGGATAACTCTTTTCTCCGACAAAAATGGAGTGAAGAAAGGAATTATGATCAGTAAGGATATGGTTATCTTACATAACTGTGTCTATTCTGTTTGAATTGAGCTTGGGAGGTAGTGATAAGGACGAGCTGCAACCAATTCATAGTGATAAGAGTGCTATGAACTGTGATCATGTCTTATTTCAAGTTAGAAGGTAGTTTCAGTATAAGGATTATTTAATTTGACAAGTTGTTTCGTCCATGATTCTTGGTAGTTTCAGTGCCATTCTAGCCATTGTTTAGTCTGTAATTTTTGAGAATTGATGTGCGAGTAATGACTTTCACTTAGCTTCAACTATTATGTGTGTATTTATTGGCATGTGATAGAATTCTCTTTTCCTTTTCTTTGAATTCAGTTTCATACTCTAATTGTATCATTTGTACATAGGCAAATCATGCTCGAGATGACAACTCGCCGATATGGCTGGTGCAAGGAATGAAGCCATCATTAAAATTCAGACCGCCAACGGGGAGGGATGCCCAGGACTAATTCAATGATGATTGATGATGGTATGATAAAAACTGCAGTCTGCATCAGCACCAATTTCTAGGCCTAAGTAAAGTTATTCAACCCAGAACTCTGCTTAGCGCTAAAAATTGCCCTCATCCAACCTTTATCCTGTTTGACCCACTTCTGAAGAGTCAAGATATATTACTAATTCTCTCCGTTCGTATTTTCTTATTGGCTCTTTCTGACCCTTTAGGTTGGGGCGGGTCGGGAAGAATCGGATTAGTGGGCCGGTCCTAATCAAGTGGAATCCCAATCCCTTCACTCTCACTTGCTTTCTCTCCCATTCCACAAGTGGGTAACATACAGTAATCCGGCCAACGGGCCGGGTAATAAGCTAGTAAAGGTAATATAGTAACTATTCTTTCTTCCTTCCCATTCCTTCAATTTACGTTTCTATTCTATATTTCATTTACAAATTACACTTTTGGTACCTGAACTTAATAGATATTAATATTTTGTATCTAAATTTAATTTTTTTTTACATTTGAGTCCATAAAATATCAATGGGAAATTATATTTTAGTACCTAAAATTTTTATTTTTTACATTTTGGTACCTACACGTTTTAAAATTTACAAACAGGTCCACTACTAAGAAACTTCTGGCCTGATTTGAAAAACTTATAGCCTACTTTGAGGTTCTGGTCTACTATGACGAGGTTCTGGCCTAATTTGAGGTTCTAGCCTACTTTGAGGTTCTGGCCTTCTTTGTGGAGGTTCTGACCTATTTTGAGGAGGTTCTTACATGCTTTGAGGTTCTGGCATACTTTGAGGAGTTTCCGACCTACTTCGGTGGTCCCCCTCTCTTCTTTAAATTTAATGCAAAAAAGACTGTTGGTCCCCCCTCCCCTTCCTCAATTTTTCATAATACTACCAAGTGTGCCCCTCCTTCTCCTTCCCCTCCTTAATTGTGGAAAACTAATTTAAATGACAAAATCATCTCAACAAAATATTTCTATTGGCTGGAGCTACTCTTAGCCCATGCTAACA